CTTGATACTAGATACTATTCCAGGCCCTTGTGATATAATAAAATAATTTTTTTTAAAGCGAAGAGAGAATTGCGCATAAGATAATCGGATGTGAGTAGAATACGACTAATCGTAAATTCTCAAACTTCCGATTATGGATACGGTAAAAGTTTTGAAATCGAAAGTCTAATTGATTTCGATTTTAAGAGAAAAGGGAAAAAATGGCAAACATTTTATACCAATCATACGGTGGTGGGCATAAATATTTCACTAAACAAATAAAAGGTATTCCAACTATAATTATCGCTTAGTTTAGTTTTCTGCTGCATTTTATGTTGTCTTCATTTATTCTTTGCCTATAATGACACGCTCACTTAGTGTGCCCTAAGGTATTTATGACGTGCTTGAATCACCTTCGGCTGTATCACATTTCCTTTCATTATTTTAACGCATCGTGAACACACACCAAGTTGTGTTTTTTAAATGCTAGAATACTAGAATATCTTCTCTCACAATAATCTTCTCTCTCTCTCTCTCTCTCTCTCTTATTCACGGGTCGACAGGGAGGTTCTGTCCGTTTTTAGAACAACACAAAATCCTACTTACCGAATATAGTCTGAAATGGTTTGCTAAGCTGAATCAAGCTTTTTCGCAATTACCGACCTTGTCCGTTGTTCCGACGTAAAAAAAAGGGATTTTCCTTCAACATGATCTTGATAGTATCCTCGTCGATCAAAGATAATCGCCGAATGTGTGACTTATAAGAAAATTGGAAATCATTTGTTTGAAATATTTCGAGTCATCTTCTGCATGTCTGCGGGTATTAGCAGACACTCTACCTTCACCTAACCCTTTCGTTAAATCTATACACACCTCTGCAGCATTTCGTCCTGATTGGAACTAACTCATTTATGATCGCACTTAATACTAACTTGAATCGTTTTAGTTTTGGTTCCTCTTTAGTGATAAAAAAAAAGAGCATCAAATGAATATGAGCATAATTGTTGAAACTTGTTGTAACTGAAACGGCGAGAACTTTCCGATAGACCTAATATTAATATTAATTACAAACTAAATCCTCTGCAAGACTTACTAATAACTTGCTGATAAAAGGAGTTAACCATTCGCTACTTATACTAGCGATCGATAACTGATTCCTAATATCTCAGTGATACTTCGTCCTTTCAGTCGCCTGATTGCGCAGCCACTTAGCAAAACCTTGCGTGCAAGAAAGCAATAAAGACGAGAAACCATTCCATCGATCCTTTGCATTAAGGTCTCTACTACAAAGAAATCTATTAATTCTCAATACATCATTAACAAGACATGTCGCTACACTTTACGTTTAAATGTGTTTTCATATTTACATACTGTTACAATATTCACGATTTTGTCATATTCTATGAATTCGTAGACACGATTTGGATAATCATTCTGAACATTCTACTTTCAAAAATTTCAAATTTCCTTAAAAAGAGGACCGGATTTGTATTCCAAACTTAAGCTTAGGGTATAAAGTAAACATCTTGTCAATCGATTTACTCGGATTTCATAGTTCAAATAGCTCACGCGCATCTAGTCCGTCGTTTTGTATCTGCAATCGGTTTGGTCGGACGTATGGGTGTTCGTCGCTATACCTGCACTTAAACATAGTCCTTTAATTATTATAATGAGTGCCGTAGTTTAGAAACGCCAAAATAAGGCGTTTGATGCCTTCGAAAGTTATTCAACAAAAGGAACTCAAATCAAAAATATTTACTAAAAATGCTTGCATGACTAAAAGCTAAGCTTTGGCATTTACTTTAGCTTATGCACAACTTTTCAGATTTGAAGGACGCTCTAAGAACTTTGATGAGTAATCGAAAAATGTGTTTTGTCTCTAAAAATTGTTAGAATTTTTCTTAAAAAATGCATTTTTTAAGGAAAGATAAGTCAAGCAGTCCGTAAGCATGAATGTTTCTAGAATCTCTGCTTATTGTTATTTTTAGTAAAATTAGAAAACAGATCAGAAAAATCAGTCACACAAATTTCGTATCTTCGTTATCGCTCTAACAATCTTGTAGAATGGCAACACTGAGGAATGGGTGGAAGTTGCCAACCAATTTTTAGAACAGTAGAAACTTTTCCCTTTTTACCCTGAGCAATCACCCAGGAGAGGTCACTTCCTATTCGCGTGACAGGCGGAAAGTAGTAAGAAAAGGGCAAGGGATAGGATTAGGTGTATATTACCGATTAAGCATTCAATATAGCTGCGAGGATAGATAAAATCTACCGCTCTTGGGATTCGAACCTATGAACACTAAGTTGGTGGTTGCGATTTCTACCTACTCAGCTGCTCGTGTGGACTTAGATTTCTTTACAGCACTTTCGCTAACACGTTCAGTTTCTTGGAAGCTATAATTAGCGATAATTTAGCGGAAAGCTTTAGTAGTTCGGATGACTGCTGCCGATTTGGAATACACGAGATGGAAGATTATGACCTCTGGCATTGATTGCAAAGCAATTTATTTAGAAGTTGCTCTTATACGCCGGTTGTTTCGTAAACAGAAGTCTCACTAATCGAATGTAAAAAATTTGGAGTAAAAATTCCTCTCAAAAAAAAAGAAGAAAATTGACAAATTATAATATTTTCTAATGGCTAGTAACTTAGCTCAAAGGTTTACCATAGGACAGTAGCTAAATCTGTCTTTATTTTTACTTTTTCTTACATCAAACATTACCTGAACGCAGTAAGTTCTTCACTTGTTATCAACCACGAAATAAATTGAATTGAAAATCGAATTATCATCGACTTCCGTCACTGCGTCGATTCTCTATGACATAAACTCTGCATACAAATAGTATCAATATCCGGATTGCAATTAAAAATACAAGAAAAAGAAATTGTTTTTATTAAAATTTACTGCTTAATCCGTCACCTAAATAGTAATTAATTAAAATCGGAAAAGTGGTGTTTTGTTTTTTGCTTTAACTATGCACTTAAGTGTAATATATTCCTGATTTTTTTTTTTTTTTTTTTGGATTTGTTTTGAAAATAATATATAAAGCCATGATAGTGACATTAATCCTTAAGCTAGAGCACGAAGCAAATTTGCCAATTATTTATTCAAGTCACATGGGCATAAGTTCACCACCACGTGCTGGGTTGTTATTGTTTTTCTTCTGTTTTTTTGGATTTTTTTATTTTTTTTATTAGCACTAGTTTGTCATTCCTTCTTTTTATAAACGCTATATTTTACAGTAGCGTAAGACGCAAAGAAAACTTTCAAAAAAAAATCTCTCTCATATGTGCCCTGCCCTGCGCTGTTTGATATTTTCATACCCGCTACATAAGGATGGGGGTATACTCACTTTGTTTTTTTTTTTTTTTTTTTTTTCATAATGTATGTAAGAACCAAAAGAAAGTTTTAGAGACTCTACAAAGTACATATATTCTTGATCGACATGATATTCTAAATTGATTAAGCTAAGTCTGTCCGTCTGTGCGTCTGTTTGGCATATGTTATTGGCACTCTCCTGGTCGCAAAAATGAAGATATCGACTCGAAATTTTCCACATTGACTTCACGAAACAGTCTACTCTACTTTACGTACAAAATTGAAAACAATCAGCCATGCCCACACAAAATTAGAAATGATTGAATTTTATTTTTTTTACCTTTTTGAGGTCTTATGGTTTTTTTTTTTTCATAAAGCAAACAAGACAAAATGTTTAAAACTACATTGAGGTTTCATCAAAATACTTCAAAAATTGCGACATGTGTGTTGAACACAAAAAAACAAGATAGACAGACGGACAGATCAATTGAGAAACCGATTTTGAGTCGACCGGTATAATAAAAAGCGGGTCTATATTTGCCTGTAGACTAACTTTAAATACCTAACTAAATATTGTAAGGGTTCTTATCAATTGTGAGCGCATCATTTAGTCCCTTATTAGCAACTCACACTAATCCTTTAAGCTGCTATGAAAATTGTATCACAGTTTACACGTCTATACTTGCAATAGAATTGGGATCCCTTTTTTCTTTTGGGTACTATGGACAAATCATAGCTATTATCAGATTTTGCCTGTAGCTCTTAGTTAACAGCGCTAAATTTCTATCACCTCATGCTAGCGGACCGGTGAGACGCGAAACAATTTATAATCTTACACAAAGAGTACATGTCCGTTGTAGTTGAGGTCGGACGTGTACATTCAGTGCGCGCTATTTTCTCAGTGGATAACACAAAAACGTTACGTTTAAAAAAATAATTGAAAATAAAAAAGTTTATGTGAAAAGTTAATCGAAACCGATTTTCATCATATGCATCTTACTCATCAAAACTCTCATCTTAGAAATTTTATAATTTTATTTTAATTTATTTACGAGTGCTATTTGGACAACTGTGAAAACACTTTTGCTAATCGTTTCATTTACATCTGCTTAAACTAACATT